GTGGGAAATGAGGAAGCTACTGGTAGATAGATACCAATAAAATTACATTAATATTTATTTAAAAGAAAAATAACCTAGCTCTGTAAGTGGAAAAGGGGGTACAGGGCTACATATCATGTACTACGGATCATTTAACCCATTCATATTAGCAGAGGATAATTGTAAATCTATTGTTCAGTGCACTCTATATGTAGTATATAGTACATGTACATATAGAGTGCCTGCAACAATACATTTACAATGATCCTCTGCTAACATGAATGGGTTAAATGATCCATAGTACAGGGCTACATACAGATCATTTAATACATTCATGTTAGTATCATTGTAAATGTATTGTCTGCACTGTATTAGCAGTATATACTCTATATAGAGTATATACTGCTAATACAGTGCAGACAATACATATATAATTGCTTAATGAATCTCTCTCTACCCCCCCCCCCCCGCCCTCACTCACTGTGTCCGTGTGCCGGTGATCGATCATCACATCACGGAGAGAGCAGGGACGAGTCAGCGGCGCGCTGGTCCAGTGGGAGGAGCTCCAGGTGGGGTCCTAATTTAGCTGGCTCAGAGGTGCCTGCCCGCTAAATTACAACCCCACCTGGAGCTCCTCTCGCCTGATCAGCGCGCCGCTGACTCATCCCTGCTCCCCTGCCTGACTGGCCGCTGCGGGGGGTTTTTTTTTCTTCTTACTTACCTCGCTGAGCGTCGCTGCTGCTCCGGTGTGCGGCGCTCCGAGCGGGGTCATCTGGCAGTCTCCGGCCACCTAAATTAGGACCCGGAGACTGCCAGATGACCCCGCTCGGAGCGCCGCACACCGAGCAGCAGTGACGCGACGCTCGGCGAGGTAAGTAAGATGACGCGCTGGCGCTGACTCGAGTATAAGCCGAGGGGGGCACTTTTCACCCAAAAAAATGGGCTGAAAATCTCGGCTTATACTCGAGTATATACGGTAAAACACTTTACCAAGCTGGCATGGGAGAAGTACTCACCCACAGTGTAGATGCCAGGTTTTAGTGAGAAGTACACGGAGTACAGAGTAAGCGATGAGGTCACTTGTGTTGTGCTAAGTACACAAGGATGGCTTTTACCTGCTTCATTCAAATATCTGAGGGCCCAATACACGGAAATTTAAATCAGAGTTCCTTGCTAAAAACAAAATACACTCTACACAATATATCTCATATACCGTATATACTCGAGTATAAGCCGAGATTTTCAGCCCATTTTTTGGGGTGAAAAGTGCCCCCCTCGGCTTATACTCGAGTCAGCGCCAGCGCGTCTTCTTACTTACCTCGCCGAGCGTCGCGTCACTGCTGCTCGGTGTGCGGCGCTCCGAGCGGGGTCATCTGGCAGTCTCCGGCCACCTAAATTAGGACCCGGAGACTGCCAGATGACCCCGCTCGGAGCGCCGCACACCGCAGCAGCAGCGACGCTCGGCGAGGTAAGTAAGAAGACGCGCTGGCGCTGACTCGAGTATAAGCCGTCCCGAATATAAGCCGAGGGTGGGAAATGAGGCAGCTACTGGTAGATAGATACCATTAAAATACATTAATATTTATTTAAAAGAAAAATAACCTAGCTCTGCAAGTGGAAAAGGGGGTACAGGGCTACATATCATGTACTACGGATCATTTAACCCATTCATGTTAGCAGAGGATCATTGTAAATGTATTGTTGCAGGCACTCTATATGTACATGTACTATATACTACATATAGAGTGCACTGAACAATAGATTTACAATTATCCTCTGCTAATATGAATGGGTTAAATGATCCGTAGTACATGATATGTAGCCCTGTACTATGGATCATTTAACCCATTCATGTTAGCAGAGGATCATTGTAAATGTATTGTTGCAGGCACTCTATATGTACATGTACTATATACTACATATAGAGTGCACTGAACAATAGATTTACAATTATCCTCTGCTAATATGAATGGGTTAAATGATCCGTAGTACATGATATGTAGCCCTGTACCCCCTTTTCCACTTGCAGAGCTAGGTTATTTTTCTTTTAAATAAATATTAATGTATTTTAATGGTATCTATCTACCAGTAGCTGCCTCATTTCCCACCCTCGGCTTATATTCGGGTCAATACTTTTTCCCAGTTTTTTTGGCTAAAATTAGGTACCTCGGCTTATATTCGGGACGGCTTATACTCGAGTATATACGGTACATAAATGTTTTACCTGTCAAAGGATTTATAGCCATTTTTGTGAACACAGGTGTAAATCTAGCCAGGTGACACCCTGTTTCCTGGTTCAGCTTTGCAGCTTCCAGTGTCACCCCCAGCATGCTCCCTGGGCAATAAATCAGTATCTCTGTTGAACAAACTGTAGAGCTAATATAGGAAAAAGCACTGTAACCTTCCTGACTATGCAATGTGGCATAGTCAGGAAGTTGGAAGGTAAAAAGAACATAGAAATGTTGTCAGCTGTGTATTAAGCAGTTGTTAGTCTATAGCATGTGTTATAGGAGGAAAAAGTAATGAGATTTGCTTCTATATTTTTTTTGTACATACAGATTCCATATTAATTAGGCCACACAAGGTTTTGCATGCAGGAGGTATGGGGTATATTAAAATTAAGTATCATAATCATTAGCAGGTAGAATGTAATTTGGTACATGCTTCTTTTAGCCTTGAAAACTAACTTAACACATACCAGTTTTGAGTGACACCAGTAGACAGGCCCCATCTCATGCTCCCTCAAGCCTTGTCCACTAAAGCCCTCCTAGGAATACCACTACTTTACTATGGGAAACCATCCTTAACCAGAGCCTAGCCAACATCAGTACTAATAAAACTGAATCATACATTACATTTTCATCAATATAACCCCCTAGACACTGATACAATCTCTGGGTGAACATCAGCCAGGCACTGAGTGTCATAAATAGCACAAAACATGATAGCCCTTACTAAAAAAGAATACCACAACCCCATAGAAGTTGAGAAATAAGCTGCCTAATGTATGTCCACCTTTAGGGGATACAAATGATCCCTGCGTATACACTTAGTTAATGCAGTGAGAGCTTGCACACCATTTCTTTGCAGACAGGAGACTCCTCCCTCAATCCAATGGTGGTTATCAAAAGTTGCTGCGCTCGGTGAGATGGAAGACCTCACAGCTTCTCTTTACCATAGAGAAGAGAAATTTCAGCACACCCGGTTTTATTGGACATGTTTCACCTCTTCTCGGGAATAGAGCTCTCTGCTGCCAAACCAAGTGATGGACCCAAGTTCATATTTGAGCAGGTTTCTTTCTGTCCCCATTCCTCCATACCACTCCCCCCCTATTTTTCCCTTTTTTCTTTTTTCTCCCCCTTGCCATCCCTCTCTTTCTCTTTTACTTTTCTGTTCTCTTCTATTCCCTTCTGTTATACTTTTCAATGTTGTATCTGTTCAAAGTTGAAATTCAGACAGAATTTCACTATTTGTTCCTTCATGGGTCACCATTTTGGAAAACCTTCGGATTATACTTCTTCTGTCATGTTACGTTATTAAGATTGTATCTGGTGGTCTTGATAACTTCCGGGTGCGAGACAGGGGTCTTGTAGTCCTACGACCCGTTATGCTGGAAATATCTCTGTTATGTTTGTACAGCTCTGTCTGCTTTGTTTAAATAAAGAATAAAAAATAAAATAAAAGATAAACTGCCCTGTATTTAGGTAAGGTGAAAAGTCTAATAAGAAAGTGAGTATCCACTATCCTATGCCCCCTAATCAACAGCCCAATTCCAGCATTTATTAAATATATA